ATTTTGATCTAATACGGCTCCAATAAGGTTCCTATTATGATCCAATACGGTTCCAATATGGTTTCAATATGGTTTCAATACGGTTCCAATACGCTTCCAATACGGTTCCAATACGCTTCCAATACGGTTCCAATAAGGTTCCAATACGCTTCCAATACGGTTCCAATAAGGTTCCAATACGGTTCCAATACGGTTCCAATACGGTTCCAATATGGTTCCAATATGGTTCCAATACGGTTCCAATACGGTTCCAATACGTCCAATACGGCTCGCAAAGACCGCTATGGCCGAGTGGCTAAGAGCCCGGTCTCTTAGCCAGTCGGCCACTCCACTCGGTTAAAAGTTCAATAGAGAAAAGGAACCAAATCTGTACCGAAAGGGAACCAAATCTGTACCGAAAGGGAACCAAATCTGTACCGAAAAGGAAACAAATCTGTACCGAAAAGGAAACAAATCTATACCGAAAAAGAACCAAATCTGTAATCGAAAAAGAACCAAACCAAAAGGAATCAATTACCAATTACTAAGACACTAAGACAATGAATGACAAGACAAACAAAAAGGTCTAGGGCAGCCAACAGCTCAAGTAGTCTTCAGAAATTTCAGTCTAACAACTAAATATCTTTTACCTAATATCTATTAGGTTGGCAAGTTATAAACGATCGTTTTTGGGTAATGTGTTTTCTGAAATTTTGGGAAACTGTAATCGAAAACTGTAATTGATGAAGCGTTTTATTTTAAAAAGTATGCAATCACTCAAAAATATTGGGTTGATGCATAATTATCCGGACTTCTTTTTGCGTGCTTGTATCTTTTTTGTTTTGAAAGCTTTTTGTCTATTTCTTTTTTTTAAATATTCGTTATTCTTTAGTGAACAAAATGCGTGTCGACAATCATATCCATCTTCGCCATATCATGCTCTACCACTTCGAAAAGGGATGGTCTGCCGCAGAGTCGTTTCGCGATCTCAAAGAACTGGAGAAGCCCCAACGGACTACCACGTCAATCGATCGCTCAAAAATTGGCAAACAAATAAGATCTACAACGATTTGGATGACTTGATAGACGATGTTAAAGCGTGGATTGCCTCCAAAGATCGTTTATTCTTCGCTCGTGGAATCGATCGTCTTCCAAGCAAATGGCAATCAGTTATTGATGTAGGCGGTGAATATGCTCCAGAATAATCAATTAAACATATTTTTCTAACTATTTATGTTATTTTTTGTTAAATAAAATCATTTATAAAAGAAGTCCGGATAATTATGCATCAACCCAATATAATAGCTCATGAATGCTAGAAATCAGCGTTTTCAACTCTTACATTAAAATGCCTGAAGTTGCCTGAAGTTCTAAAATAAAAGATTTTTCAAAAATTCAAAAAAGCCATTTTGTAGATTAAGGATAGGGCTTTTGAATGAAGGAAACCGTTTTTTTGATTGGATAAGCCGTTTTTTCAGAAAACACATTACGATCGATCGTTTATAACACCTAAAAACGATCGTTTATAACTTGCCAACCTAATCTTAACGGCCAAAAAAGAAAAAAAAAACAGATGTTTTCGTTTAATAAAGATATTCAGTTATCTTTCTGATAAACCATTTTTGGAGGATAAAAGAAAGATAGCGAAAAAGAATATGGAAAAGGTCAATCAATGAGAGCTGACGGGGGAAAAGTCAAGGATTTTTGCGGCCGAAAAGAATGGTACAAAAGAAGAAAAGACAGGTTCTCTTTTTGCACATAAAAATTAGCCCCCTTTGAATGGGATTCACAAGCGGAACGGGATCTTTTCTCCTTTCTCAATCTACTTTCTCAGTCACCATCAATGCAAAATGGTTATTTGTGAGGGAAATGAGCAAATAAAGCTGTAAATAGAAGTACATTGAATACTAGAAGCGAAAACTTACACTTGTTGCCTTGTTATTGTTGTTGTTGCTTAAACTTGTTGCCTAAAACTCTGTAACACTAGAATCAATCAGAATACAGAAGAAATAACTAAATTAAGATTTTGAGCAGCAACAACAACAGCAACAACAACAACAGCAACAGCAACAACAACAGCAACAACAACAGCAACAGCAACAACAACAGCAACAGCAACAACAACAGCAACAACAACAGCAACAGCAACAACAACAGCAACAGCAACAACAACAGCAACAACAGCAACAGCAACAGCACCAGCACCAACAACAACAGCAACAACAACAACAGCAACTTTGATGCTAGATATCTCGCGTTACAGATATCTTTTGGAAAAAGTAGAAGCATATTCAGAAACAGCATAGCCGCCTCTATCAAGCCGTTGCTTTCATATTAAAGGGGGGTATTAATCGCGGCCGGGTGACCATAAAAAATTTTTTTACGGCAACCACCTGTTTTTTTATTTTAATATTGCTGATTTTATTATAAAAAGAATAAAAATCACCCGGCTATAGTGATTTGATGGGTTTACAAATTTTTGGAGACGCTGCAGGGCTCTGCAAGGCTCAAGTTCATCTACAAGGTAAGTGCGAAAGTAAAGCAAAAGCCAGGCATTATGTTTTGTTTTTGTTTTGTTTTTGTTTTTTTTTTGTTTTCTTTAGACTTTCGATCTACACTTTTGGTTTTGAACATCTCTAGATTTTTCCAGATGGAGATTCTATGTTTAGATAAAGCAAAAGGCCATCAAAACACCCTAAGCACCTAAGCTATCTATTAGAACACGAGAGGAACATCTCTAATAGATAGCTTAGGTGCTTAGGGTGTTCCTCTCGAGTGATGCGTTTTCTAAAAGGCACCTATTTGAGAAAACAGTCAAAAGCATTAATAAAGCAATCAAAAGCTTTAACAAAGCTTTATTAAAGCTTTATTAATGCTTTATCAACAATTTTTTCACCAAAAATCTCTTCTCAATCAACCGGCTTGAAGTGTGAAAGGTTGACCGTGTCAATTCATCAAAATCCATCCATTCAAAGCCGGTTTCTCTTCACATTCCTTTTCTCGATTCTTTATTTGTTCATTTATTGAATTTTTCTTTCATTTTTAGCTAATTTATTTGTTACTGATTTATTATTATTCTAGAAACAGTCAAACAGAGTCAAACTTCAAAAAAAAAAAACACCCAAATTCCTTTTTCTCTATGATCCGATTACTATTTTTACTGCTTCTTACAGGTAAATTCGATTTTTCTAATTACTTTCTAATTATTGGGTTGGTGAATCGAAAAACTGCCGGCTATTCTCATATGTGACAGTTTGAGCACTTTCTTCAAAAGAAACCCATTTTGGTGTCAATGGAAAAGCTGTAGAAAGTTGTTGATCGGATTTTGCTTGTTATTTTGTCCCTTGTTTTCTAAATGGTGTTCCTTTCTCTTTCTACCGTAAGAACTCGAGGAAAACTTGAAAATTTAGCTAAATTTAGCTCTAGATAGCTCTGAATTGAGCAGTTAATGGCCCAGTGAATCGTCAAGCTTTGATCCTGGTGTGTAAAGCTTTGAAACTCGAGGAAAACTTGAAAATTTTGCTAAATTTAGCTCTAAATTTATTGGGTTGGTGGTTGGTGGCTCTAAATTTAAAGCTGCGGGATTTTGAACTATCTTTGCCGTTTAAAAGCTACGTTTAAAAGCCGTAATCCATTATTTGATAGGTTTCGTCTCGTGTCGCCGTTTCTCATCATCGGAAAGCCATTCAATTGAGCAAACAAATCCCTCAAGCCTCAATCTACTCACCGACACGAAGCGCTTCGAGAAGATTTTACCCTCAAAGGTTTTTCAAAGCCTTCAAAGCTTTCAAAGCTCAGAGAAAAGCTTTTCTAAAAAGTGTAAACTTTAAAAAAACTATTGTAAGCTTTGATTCTATTCTCTTTGCCTCTTTCTCTTTGTCTTTGCTCTTTGCCTCTGTCTTTGCGGTTCGATTTACACTCAAATTTCTTAAAAACAAATCCACCAATTCAAGAACACTTTTTGTCTACTATTTACAAGTCGACTCCAAGAAATTACTTGTAAAAAATGAGCACAGCTTTTCGTTCAAATTTTAGAGATTTTTGGAAAATGATTATTTTGCCGTAAAGCTTAAAAATCAGCTCACTTTTTGCAAAATAAAAACAATTACTGTATTTGAGAAACACTCTGGATTACTAGCTAGATTACTGTAGCTAGATTACTGTAGTTAGATTCCTGTAGTTAGATTCCTGTAGCTAGATTCCTGTAGCTAGTTTACTGTAGCTAGATCACTGTAGTTAGATTCCTGTAGCTAGATTCCTGTAGCTAGATTCCTGTAGCTAGTTTACTGTAGCTAGATCACTGTAGTTAGATTCCTGTAGCTAGATACTGTAGCTAGATACTGTAGCTAGATTACTGTAGTTAGATTCCTGTAGTTAGATTCCTGTAGCTAGATTCCTGTAGCTAGATTCCTGTAGCTAGATACTGTAGCTAGATTCCTGTAGCTAGATTACTGTAGTTAGATTACTGTAGCTAGATACTGTAGCTAGATTAGCGTAGCTAGACTACTGCAGCTAGATACTGTAGCTAGTTTACTGTAGCTAGATACTGTAGTCAGATACTGTAGCTAGATTAACATAGCTAGACTACTGTAGCTAGATTACAAAAGAAAGGCTGGTGTCAAAAAGGCGCTAGGCTACCAAAGAATTAGATCAAAAGTGGATAGAAAAGAATTGGAGACAAGATTATGGTAGCTTTAAAACGTTAGAAAACTGTAATCTGTTTTTTTTTGGTTTAGGAATCTCTCGAAACATTTGGCATTCGTTTTATCGATGCTCTCATCAAAAAGGGACAAATGGAGATGGCTAAAGGAGCTTTTAAGACTCAATTGGAAGTGCTGGAGAAAGTGAATCCGAAACAGGTTGAAAGGTTTAAAAAAAAACGGAACCTTATCAGTTACAGTATGCTAAGTACAAAGATATGAAAATCGAGGATTTGGCTGCCGATGCAGTCCGACAACAAGCACAATTATCAGCGATGCAACCGAGAACTGGAAATGCTTTTGTCGATATGTTGCACGAGAATGGGATACCAATTGGATCGTCGATTAAGGGTTTGTCAAGTGTTCTGGACTTGCTTTAGAGATAATATTATCGTTAAATATTATCGTTATCGAGATAGTTTTAACGAGAACCCTTCAGGCTTTCAAATAATAACAAATAGAAGTTGATTGAACTAATGAAATTAGAGAAATGCTCAAGATCGCATTGTTCTCTTACAAGAGAAGCTTCCCAAGTTCGCCGCGAGTTACAATGATGTAGATGCAAAAAGAAAGACCTGAAAATGTACGTTCAGAAACTGTTTTCAAAAATCGCTAATCGGCAAAACGCACAATTTCGCCATTTGAATCTCGAAAAAATGAAGGCTTTTCTCGAATTTCTGATTTTTGATTTTGCCGGGCGCAAAGGCTTCAGAGCGCAAAGAGCCGAGCGCAAAGGCTTCCGAGCGCAAAGAGCCGAGCGCAAAGGCTTCCGAGCGCAAAGAGCCGAGCGCAAAGACTTAGGGGCGCAAAGAGCCGGGCGCAAAGGGTTCCGACCGCAAAAAGAGCCGGGCGCAAAGGGTTCCGAGCGCAAAGGGTTCCGAGCGCAAAGACTTAGGGGCGCAAAGACTTCCGGGTGCAAAGACTTGGCGGCGCAAAACTTAGGGGGCGTAAAGACTTAGGGTTGCAAAGACTTCCGGGTGCAAAAGACTTGGCGGCGCAAAGACTTCGGGGCGCAGGCCGAGCGCAGGCATCAAACCTTCCCCCAAGGAAACTTTTTCTCGAAAAACAATCGAAAAGGAATGCCCCTTATGCTAGACGGGTTTGCCAGACGGCGAGCGATTGTGCGCGCACACAAAGAACTTCTTGCCAGTCATTTGCACAAGGACTTTACTTTGTAGATGCACAAAAAGAAGAAATTCAGCTGTATTTGTACAGCTGAATTTGTACAGCTGTAAATTTGTGCGCAGGGATTTCCGGGGTCGGTGAATCGATTGAATCAATCGAAATACTCATTTTATTAACTCATCAATCTTTTTCTCGAGTTTTTTACTCAATAATTTTCAAGTTTTAAGCTGTGAAAAGTTTGAATGTTTAGAAAAGGAGATAAACAATATTTTCTAGGAGTTGAGCAAGCGATCAAGACGCAAAAAGAGATCGAGAACAACGATCCAAGTGAACAAGTTTGGAAAAGTAAAGGAAAAAGAAGAAGAAATTCTTTCAGATAGCGAAAGCGGTGTTCGAGAAATTTCGACAGCAAATCTTGCCAGGCCTTGTCGCAAATATAATTTCAGGTTTTTAAAGATGAAATCTATTAGAATAAGAGTGATATTCAGGAAGGAATCCATTCCGAATGCCAAATACAGGCGGTGGAATGAGTGGAATGAGACAAATGCAACAAATGCCCGAAGAGATTCGACAAAAGCTCATTGTCAGTTTGAAAGTTTCCGTAAAATCGTTCCCTAGTTGTTGAATAGCACAATTTTAGTTATTTAGCAATTAAAACACAATTAGTTTAGCCTTTTTGGCTTTATGGCTTTTTGGCTTTAAGGCTTAGGCTCAAGAAGTGATTGAAGGTCATCAGAAGATAGGATTAAGTGTTATGGGGATGATCTGGGTGATGGGGATGATCTGGGTAATGGGGATGGCCTGGGTGATGGGTATTTATGGGTATGACTGAAAACAGAGAGGAGACCCTAACCAGAGACCTGGACAGCTTGAACCAGGGCATGAGGAGAGCGCACTAACCGCTACACCATCACCATACGGTCACCTGTAATTCGGCCAAGTAATTCGGCCTCATGTCGCTGTTTTTCCTAACTTTGGAAGCATTTTTCTCGCGTTTCTGCCGATACCTCAAATCGATCCAAAGTTTCCCTAAATACAGTGGCGGACATAAACTTATCACACCCCAAAATAATTTCTTATTTCTCCTCTAACTTTTTTTCTAAACAACCCTTTGAGCTAAAAGTTGGTTTAGATACGTAAAAACAAACATATTTTAATATTTTAAGTCAAAAAACTAAATATCTCTGATGAAAAACTTTTTTTGAACTTTTTTATTATAAACTCGAACGACATTGACTTATCACACCTCATAAAAACAACACAAAAAGCTATTAAAAACTACCCAAAAACAACGGCTGATAAATCAAAATGGGAACAAAAACTTAATACTTCGTTGGGAATCCTTTTGAAGCAATCAGTGCAGCACACCGACGTTGCATGGATTCGATGAGTGTGTCTAGTGTGGCTTGAGGGATCTCGGTCCATTTCTTGACCAATAAGTCGAATTTCTCTTGAGCATTTTTAGTCTTATACCCTTTGCAACTCCTCTCAAGCACATCCCACAGGTGTTCGATTGGGTTGAGATCCGGACTTTGACTGGGCCAGTCCATCACTTGCAGCCCTTGTTGGGTGAACCATTGAGTGACGCGGCGTGCTTTGTGCTTAGGATCGTTGTCTTGCTGGTATATGAAGTTTGGAGGCATGAACCGAGTAGCAGACGGTAACATATGGTTCTGTAAGATATCCAAGTAGACAAATTGATCCATGATCCCGTCGATTCGTTTCAGCGCCACCAATCCGCGAGCCGAAAAGCCACCCCAAATAGTCACACTTCCGCCCCCATATTTAACAGCCGGTAAAATATATTTCGGGTCGAATCTTTTATTGGGAGGACGTCTCACATATTGAATTCCATCACTTCCAAACAAGTTGAACTTGGACTCGTCGCTGAAAAGCACATTTTGCCACTGTTGCTTAGTCCATTTAACGTGGTCCTTGGCGAACTTCACTCGACGCTTCCGATTCTTTGCGGAAATGAGCGGTTTGTGAGCAGGACGACGACCAAAATCGGTTGGCATGGTTTAGGCGCCGTTGGACTGTCCGTGGAGAGTTCGAATCCTTAACGTTTCTTGGCAACTCCGCATGAATGTCGACCGCCGTCTTGAATGGGTCCGCCTTGGAGAGCTCGAGAATCCGATTGTCGTCTCGTTGAGTGGTTTTTCGTAAGGCTCCCTTATTCTTTTTTGCTTCGAGCGATCCCGTCCGACAGTGTAGAGCCAAAATTTTGTTGACCGTGGTCCGATCGATTCCCAAAACACTCCCAATTTCTTTCTGACTCTTCTGTTGGCGGTGAAGACGAAGAACGTCCTCCCTTTTCTCCAACGAAATTTGCTTCTTCTTTCCCATATACCTAGAAAGAGTTTTAATGAGATTAGATTCAAAAGTCGGAAAAAAACCCAAAATAAAAACGAAATTTTAATGTTTTGTGTTGTTTTTATGAGGTGTGATAAGTCAATGTCGTTCGAGTTTATAATAAAAAAGTTCAAAAAAGTTTTTCATCAGAGATATTTAGTTTTTTGACTTAAAATATTAAAATATGTTTGTTTTTACGTGTCTAAACCAACTTTTAGCTCAAAGGGTCGTTTAGAAAAAAAGTTAGAGGAGAAATAAGAAATTATTTTGGGGTGTGATAAGTTTATGTCCGCCACTGTAAGTTAGCCTCCATTTTGGGGTTTTTACAAGAATTTCAGGGTTTTTATAAGCAATTTAGTAAAACCTTGAAAAAAATCTCTTTTTAAGAGTGTGTTCCTTGCAAGTAAGTAATTACTCGAGTCAAATTTGCATGAGTAATTTTTACTCGATGAATCGATAGTTCGATCGATAGTTAATCGACGTTTTTCGCCGACTAACTACGAGTAATCCTCTTTACGCGTCTAGTAAATTGAATATCTTTAAAAGGAGTCGTATATAAGGCGGCGCTCGTGACTTTTGCGCCAATTTTTTTTGCAGCAATGCAATAATGCAATAATTTGCAATTTTCCCTAAAAGTACGGTAATTTTTCCTAAGCTAAGTGCGTTTTAAAGAAGGCATTACCACTTTACTTTACTCTCCATTCCTATACGCACTTTACTCACGAAAAACACTTTACTCTCAATCCTATACGCAATAAGACATGAAATTAAAGTTTTGAAAAAAGTTTTTGAAAAAAATCGAATGATTTTGGTTGCAAGAGGCTCCGAACTAGTGAGGAACAGTTTCAAAGCCGAGCACACTATCCACAAGGCTAGCTGGTGATTGCAGAAAGTCGACGAGGGAAGACTTATATCACCAAGCAATATTGTTCGCGCTCCCAATTTTCAAACGTGTTTTTCCATGGGTTAAAGGGGGCATTTGGTTGATTTTAAAGCTAGGTTTTGCTCAGAATTTTGCGTAGAATTTATTGGACTAGCTCTTGTAGCTTAATTAGATGTTATTTTGAAACAGTTCTCTAGTAAATTGGAGTAGTTCTCCCCGCCAAGTAGCTCTCTAGTTAGGCTAGATTTTTTGGCTGGAATTTTCTAGATTTTGCAGGCACAACAACGAAGCCAAGCAGAAGAGTCGACTGTTGAGCTGAACAATGAAAACGAGATTCGAAGAAGTCCGAGAAGAAATGATGAAGATGAGCACGATTTGGAAGATTTAGAGACAAGGCTCCGAAGCAGTCCACGTTTGGCGATACTTTTGAAGGTTTGAGGCTTGTTTTTTTCAATTTCTGTTCACTGATAAGTAAATCTAGTAATTACGTAGTATTTCCACAATTTAAATGCTGATTTTTCGTCTTTTGGCAATGGATCTTACGTAGTTTCTGGGGATTTTGAACGGCTCGTCTTTGAAGGCCTATAACTTTGTCTAGAGATCATATTTTGGTTAACTTTTTATATCATTGGATAGAGGACATTTCAGGCTTTCAAATGATACTAAATAGAGCTTGATTGGATCATCCAGTCGAAGGAAATCAGTGCCAACTCTGAGCAAACGAGATCGATCCAACTCGGATCCAGCACTGCTTGATTTTCTTGGACTGGATAGTGCAATAAAGCTGTATTTGGTATCATTCAAAAGCTGAAAACATCCTCTATCCAATGATATAAAAAGTTAACCAAAATATGATCTCTGGACAAAGTTATAGGCCTTCAAAGACGAGCCGTTCAAAATTTCTGGTTTTTTCAAAAGCCCGAGAACTATGCAAGAGCCGTTGTTTCAAATGATTTCTTACAGTCTAATCTACTCTTTAAAACTCCTGTTTGTCAGGTAAACTGTCGAAAAATTGTCCAGAAAATTGTTTGATCTTTCAAAAACCTGAAAAAAAAACGGAAAACAATCGGCTTTGGTTTGAAATTTTGAGCCTAGGAAACACGCAAAGATTAGAAATATTAGAAAAGAAATAAAATGTTTGAATGAATAAAATGAAACTGTTAAAATAAAATGTTTAATCTTTAATTCATAACTAATAAACAATTATATTGAAATTCCTCAATTTTTTACAGAATCCATCAATCCATTCGCTTCTCTCAAATCGCCGACTTCACGATGAGCCACTTGGTCGATCACTGTCGGATCGATTCGTCAAAAAGTTGCTTACCTAAAAGAATAAACATAAAGATAAAGATTTTAAATCAAAGAATACATTGAAAAGAAGAATTTTGATTCACGAACATGTCAAGAAAACTTTTAGTACGAATCTTTTGGAAGACTTTGGGACGAGATCAGCGTTAGCATTGGGAATCAATGAAATGATGGCTGAAGATGAGGAGGAAAGCTCGGAAAATCAAGTACTTTTCGGTTTAAAGATTGTAAAAGATTTAAAAATTTAGAATTTCCAAATTTAACCTTTAGATTAGACGATCGCCGTTGAAATTGCATCCGGAATTCGTGGCGAGTCTCTCTGGGAATCCAGAAATTGCGGAAGCGCTTGCGTTGGCTTTATTTGACTTTATACTTTGCTAAAGGGTTTTTATTTTAGAAAACTATCGTAATTTAACTAATAGATTACGGTAGCTTTCTAAAACTACCGTAATCTAAGCGCCAGTTTACATTTGATTAGCCAATTTTGACTGATTGACTGAGAAGGGATGGTCAAATGGATAAGAAATACGGATTTCAACATTTTCATAAATTTCCAACGATAGAAACCTGATATCGATGAATGTTTTGATGATGAATGTTATAAACTATTTGAAAGTTGTAAATCTCCTCTACAAAATAGGCTATCTGTAGAGAAGAAAAGGAACCAAATCTGTAGAGAAGAAAAGGAACCAAATCTGTACCGAAAAGGAACCAAATCTGTATCGAACAGGAACCAAATCTGTACCCAACAGGAACCATGGATTAGAGCGCAATGGAATCACAAGACTCAGTCAATGATACCAAAATTTGGCTGATTAAATCTAAAATGAGAATTTGTTGATAGTAGTTTTGAAAATAGTATTTTAAAAGCATAGAAATTCCTCTACTTCTTTTCTGCCATAGCTCTGTAGCTTTACAGACTTTTCAGCTTACAGCCTTACAGGAAAGCTTTTCAGAAGACTAAACTACAAAGTGGATGAAGTGGATGGGTTGTTGATACCGAAAAGACGTCTAATCAATCCACATCCACAGCCGGGATTCCTTGTGCCAAGAAAGATACCAACAAAGTGAGATTTCTCGAAAATTTCTAAACAATTTGCTTCATTTGATCAAAGAATTTGTTTAAAATATCAAAAATTTGTTTAAAATGTTTAAAATGTTTAAAATTTGTCATTTTTCTTTTACTAAAGAGAGTGTGTAGTTTTTTTTGAGTCTTTCAGTAAATACAGAAAATTCAATGGAAAATTCAATGGAAAATGCACGTTGTAAAGATGCAAAAAAGTCAATTTATCTATTGAAATGTTTTCTAAAATTCGTTTAGACCAAGAAAAATGATTCCAATCTTGGTGGGAGTGCCGGATATCGACAATGCAATTTCAACAGAATGGGGAACGATTCGGAGGGCGCCAAGTGAAATGGATGTAAAGGTTTCTTTCTTTCTTTCTTCCTTTCTTTCTTCCTTTCTTTCTTTCTTCTTCCCCTTCTCCTTCTCTTTCTTTCTTCTTCCCCTTGTCTTTCCCTCTTTCTCTCGTCTGATCAAGATCAAGAATGGCTCAGTGGTTAGAGCTCAATGGCCATCAAACGAAAAGGTCAACGGTTCAATCCCGTCTCCAGAAGTCTACTTTTCTTGCAATTCCTTCACTTCTTTATTACTGTACACTGATTGGGCTAGTTCTTGCTACATTTTTGAAACTAATAACTAATGTACTTTTGGTAGCAAAGTACAGTGGACAGCAAAAGTACAGCAAAGGCAAAAGTACAGCATTTCTTTATTAATATAAACTTTATTTAGCCAATGAAAGAGTACAAATCACGAGTGATCGCGAATCTCAAAAATAACCCCAATGTGGCTCCACTTTTTATGAATGATGATTTAGAGAGGAAATTGAGAGGAAGGTGAGAAAGGGAAATATAGAAAACGTATTCTCTCTAATAGCAGTGCACCTTGAGCGTCGCTTAAATTGCTAGAAAACTCGAGAACCGCTTATCAGAATCTATCGATGTCGGGTCGGAAAATGTAGCTGACGATGAGATCTTGACGATGATTAGAGTGTTGAGCTTCTGGGAAAACTTGGCAACCGTAAAATAGTGATCAACTCGACCGGGTGCACTACTATTAGAAAGAATACGGTATTGAATTCTATCCAGATTTTGCTTTTAGGTTTCGGAATTTAAAATGAAAACCGCCGTACCGTATTCACATTTGATTTTGGTATTTAAATAGACTCAAAAATGATCTGATCTAATCAAAAATGATTAAAAATGATCTGATCTAATAAAAAAATGCTTTTAATTATATATGTCGTAGCCGTTTACGAAATTCAGCCGTTAACGAATGAGGGTATTTCCGGGCATCCAATCAAAAAGTCACCCACATAAAAAATGTTCATAATACATATATTTTATAATAGATTTTTGAAATTAGCTCATTTGATTCAGTAGAAAAATTTTTTTGAGCCCCCAAAGTTTAGGTTCAAAAATGGCTATAAAAAATTTTCCACTCAGCCAAAAAACTTGCTTTATAGCTCATTTTGTAGCCAATTTGATGTAGTTTCTTAAAGTAAAGCCATCTAAAACAATTTTTCGTTGAAAGTAGGAGAAAGAGGGCGAGGAACAAATTCAGGGCAATTCTCAAATGTGAAAACAGCGACCGAGTTCAACTGGAGTCGTTCCTCGCCCTCTTTCTCCTAGTTTTGAAAAACAAATGTTCAATGTAGCTTTACTTTAAGAATCTACATAAAATTGGCTACAAAATGAAGTATTAGGCAAGTTTTTTGGCTGAGTAGAAAATTTTTTATAGCCATTTTAGGGGCATTTTTGAACCTAAACTTTGGGGGCTCAAAAAAAATTTTCGACTGAACCAAATAAGCTAATTTCAAAAATTTATTATAAAATATATGTATTATGAACATTTTTTATGTGAGTGACTTTTTGATTGGATGCCCGGAAATACCCTCATTCGTTAGCGGCTGAATTTCGTAAACGGCTACGACATATAGTTTAAAAGTTTTTATATCCCGTATTTTCTCTAATAGTAGTGCACCTTGAGCGTCGCTTAAATTCCTCGAAATCTCGAGAACCGCTTATCAGAACCTATCGATGTGGGGTCGGAAAATGTAGCTGACGATGAGATCTTAACGATGATTTGAGTGTTGAGCTTCTGGGAAGACTTTGGAAGCCGTAAATAGTCATCAACTCGGCCGGGTGCACTACTATTAGAGAGGATACGGTAGATACCAATTTAACCTATTGTTAGATACCAATAACCTATTGTTAAATGCAAATTTGATCGACTTTTAGAGAAATTCTCTCTCCAGAGCAAAAGGGCCTCTTTTCTTCGCATTCTCGACAAATCCATCCACGAATGCTTGGAGCGAACACATTGAGCTTATCAGATATTGATAAACAAGTTGTACAGGTGATTTTTTAGTACTGTTCTTTGTGTACTGAAACATGCACTTTCTGGCGCACTTAGTGAATCGATTTTCAATATTTCTAAATGTTTATTTCGTTGACTCGCCTTATTCTTTTGATATTTGAGTTTAAATCTGGATTTTCACTCTTTCTGGTAACTCTTTCTCTTTCTAAACGCGCTTGAATTTCAATTTTTCTTGCAGCAATCCGGTATCGCGAGAAAAATGAAGAATTAGTGCACCGGAAAGTGTATGTTTTCGACACTCTTTCAGCACAAAGTACAACTAGAGGTTAAATTAGGTTAAATTAGGTTCAATTTTCATGTTTTACATAGAGTTTTATGTTTTAAATAGAGTTTTATTAAAGAAATTTGATCATAAGAAATTTGATATTAGAAAAATTTAGTATTTATTGTGTAAAATCGTGTAAAATCGTGTAAAATCGTATAAAATCGTGTAAAATCGTGTAAAATCGTATAAAAACATCGAAAATCCCGAAATTTCAGACGATGGAAGAGCGCCCAGTTCCGCCACTTTTTTGGATTCCAAAGGGGAAACACACGAGAATTCGATGGACGGGTGCGCAAGAAAAAGAGATTCCCGGATTGGGGACAAGGTTTCTTTATCAATAGAAAATCAATAGAAAATATCAATTTTTATATTCTAAGCTTTTTTGGACCACATTAAAATCTAGATATTGAAATTTCGCAGGCTAATTTTCCCGTCATTGGACCCAACTGCTCCAGCGCTTAACACCGCCATGTCGACTCAGGGAAGGGCACGGTAAAGTGAAAAAGATTTGCACGAGAGTTTAGTTACAAGAAATTAGTTTTTTAAATATTCAGTTTAAGATTAAAGTTCAAGAGATTTCTGTCAATGTTTACTGTAAAAGTGTTTCTAGTGACGAGTGGGATACGATGTTCAAAATACCAAACAATTGGAATCCGGGCGACGAGGTTGGCTTCAATGTGAAGCAGAAAAGCGAGAGGTGAGTGTGAGGTGTACTTTGTGCTCAAATTTGTAGTGTGCAATAAAAATCAAGAGTTGAGTGCACCAGAAAGGGTGCGTTTGCATGGGAACCGAATCGAAACCGAATCGGAACCCAAACGGAACCTAAACGGAACCTAATCGGAGCCTACTGGGACGGTATGGGAAATCGGAACTTAATCGGAATCGAAACGGAACCGAATTAGAACCGAATTAGAACCGAATCGGAACCGAATCGGAATTGAATGGGAACTGAATCGGAATCGAATAGGAACCTAATCAGAATCGAATCGGAACCGAATCGGAACCGAATCGAAACCGAATCGAAACCGAATCGAAACCGAATAGGAACCTAATCGGAATCGAATCGGAGCCTACTGGGACGGTATGGGAAATCGGAACTTAATCGGAATCGAAACGGAACCGAATTAGAACCGAATTAGAACCGAATCGGAACCTAATCGGAATCGAATAGGAACCTAATCGGAACCTAATCGGAACCGAATCGAAATCGAATGGGAACCTAATCGGAATCAAATCGAAACCGAATCGGAATCGATTGGGAGACAAATCGGCCCTAAATGGGAACCGAATCTGGAGCACAAAGTACACACAATTGTACTATAGTAATCTTCAATACTTGAAGTTCATTGCAGATTAAAAAATCGGGTCATTGATCATTCCTAGTTTCTTAGATTCATCGGCGGCACCGGGAATTTCGATATGCCAGCCTCACACCTGTGAATATCCAAAAACCTGTGAATATCCAAAAACTTTGTACATAGTAATAAAATCTTTTAGATTTTGCGTAAGCTTTAATGTAAAGGAAAATGCAGAAAAATTAGACTAAAGGATTTACATTTTTCTCAGCCAAATTTGCACTTAAAACTCAAATAAAATGAATCGTTTCTCGCTAAAATTATCATTCTCAATTTCGTCATCTCGAACAGGTTGGTTTTTTTGAACTTTTTCTTTCTTATTTTCCCGGTTGACTGTAAATTACAAGTACAAATTAAAATAAGTATTATAGCCTGTAATAATTATTTTCTTGATGTTTAAAGTGTTGCCGTTAGTTATTTGAGGCGAATTTGGGCATTTTCTTACGTAAATTTGGAAAGGTTAGCATTTTAATTGTTTGTAAGCGTTTATTTTGTAGGTAAAGGTAAATTTTGTATGTAATTAATGTGTATTTTATAGAATTGAGTCAGTTTATTGTTTTAGTCAGCTAGAATGTATAGGTTAAGTAGAAATTGAGTCACTAGACTATTCGACTTTGTTCGAAAGCTTAGGACAAGTAGAAATTGAGCCACTAGACAATTCTACTTTGTTAAAAAGCTTAGTACAAGTACCGAATTTGAGCATTTTCTTACTAAATTTGGAAAGGTTAGCATTTTAATTGTTTGTAAGCGGTAAGCGTTTAAAAGGTAAATTTTGTATGTAGATAATGTGTATTTTATAGAATTGAGTCAGTTTATTGCTTTAGTCAGCTAGAATGTATAGGTTACGTAAAAATTGAGCCATTAGACTATTCTACTTTGTTAAAAAGCTTAGTACAAGTAGAAATTGAGCCATTAGACCTAAGACTTGCTTCATTCAATGTTGTTTACATTATGTAATTGGTTTTGTTTAGATGAAAGCCGTCAAATTGTTGTTGGCATTGCTCTTTGTTGGACTCGCCGTCGGTCATGGTCATAATCATGACCCGCCCGGAGATAATGACAAGCCGGATGTGGTAAACTCGCAAGAGGATCGAGATCTCCAAGTGAAATTGCTCAACACCAAGCATCTCTTCCCCGAGCTTTCAATCATCAATCAATACTATGGTGATCATTTTTTTTTGTCCTGTCATTTTCTTCAACTCTTTCTCCTTTAGCTCTTGCCTTGAAGCCATTGGTTATCGAGAGAAACCTCAAGATGCCCACATTCCAGAAATTCATCAAGTATTTCACGAAGAACATGAAGACGGTGAGTTATTTTAATGGTTCTTTTTTGTTAAACTTGCTTCATAACTGGACATTTTTATTCTTTTTTGTTTAGAACAGCAGCATGCACAAGGAGCGCGTAGCACAAATCGAAAAATCGCTCGACGAAACGTTCGACATGCTCGTCAAACAATACACTGGACTCAAGGCGGATGTTGGTTAATGTGTTTAAAGTTGAATTGATTTTTTTTAGACAAACCTCACCGCTATCCAGAAATTCCGTGTAAACGACGAGCCAGAAGTAACGGAAAAAAAGAAGCGTGGCGTCGAGGATTTTTTGCTTTCCGAGGCATTCTCAAAGGTTTGCTAATTGTTTTCCGTAATTTTCTCTTCTTTAGATGTTGCTGGAGAAAACTGGTGAGCTTTTGGAGGAACAAGATATCAATGAGACAAACAACATTGCCAAGCGGGCCATTAAAGTTTGAATTTAAACAAAAAAAGCAGTAAATCTTTATGCTTTAGGTGCTTGAGACGGAATTCGCCAAGCGAAACGATTTTGAGCATCGTATGAAACGATCTTTGAGGCAACTTTTAGGAGAACAGGTATGGTTTTTGACTATTTATTGTACTAAAGCAAATGCTTAGATTGATCTGATGAATTTTAAGCGACCATTGACGCGTGAAAAGCGTGGTAACATGACACACGTGGCAAATGCAACTGTTGTGACTAACTCAAAGCACAATATCGTGAAGAGGGCGCTTAAGGTAGAGTTGATTATGTTGATATATATTTTATGTTTAGGTGAGAGTTGGTCAGCTTTTTGTAACCTTAAAAGCTGTTCACACTGTTGCACTGTTCACACTTTTCCAAATTGTTTATTTTAGAGAAATTGGCCATGTCCTATCTGTGTCCAGAAGATGGGCGACTACCGAGTGTAGATGGTTCTTCTTCTCATCATCGCACCTCATTTCCACATAACCACCACATCTCTCCACATTCCAGCCCGTTTCTGTTGGCAGTTTTGCTATCAACGAAAAATGATGGACATTTTCGCAATTTCGCAAATAAAGTTTTTGCAATATAGGCGTTTTTTGCCTTGTGTAGTTGAATGTTTTTAGCAACATTTGTCAAGAATTTTTTACTGTACGCTGTCATGACTTTATTAATATAGTACAGAGAAAAAGACCCGTCTTTGAGACCAAAGCGAAAACGTAAAAAGTTAGAAAAAGTCATCGGGAATGGAATCTTACTATTATATAATTGTGAAATGTTCGTCAGTAAAAAATCGGGGAATGGGCTGTTCAATATTAGATTTCAACAAAACAGAAATTTCATCGGAATACCCGAGGTTTGGTTACAAAGATAAAGAGAATCGGGGGAATTAAAGGGAATTAAACTGAAGAATTTGACGGCGTTGCCTTTTAAAAATCTATGAAATATGGGAGTGGGACAAATGCGACCTTTTTTTTGCGCACCCGGCCATTTGCGCACCTTTTTTTCCGCACCTGGCCCATTAGCGCACCTTTTTTCGCGTTTTAAAAAAGCTTTAAAAAGCTAATATTAACCAATTTCTATTCCAAAAGTTGTTTTTCTAGGTAATTCGAGGGTGTAGAATCGAAATTTTGACATAACAGAGCGTGTGGAATCAATTTGAAAGACAAAACGGGTAGGTCAAATTACAGAAAATGGTCGATTTTTCTCTTTGTATAACTCCGTCCGTTCGCTTCCACAAGCTCTGATATGTCAGGATTTCGATTCTACACCCTCGAATTACCTAGAAAAACAACTTTTGGAATAGAAATTGGTTAATATTAGCTTTTTAAAGCTTTTTTAAAACGCGAAAAAAGGTGCGCTAATGGGCCAGGTGCGGAAAAAAAGGTGCGCAAATGGCCGGGTGCGCAAAAAAAAGGTCGCATTTGTCCCACTCCCTGAAATATCTGGGATTTAACTTCTTTAACATATAACTTATAACTTATAAAAACTTATAAAAATGTAATATACACTTATCCATAAATCAACAATATGTTTGCTTGCTGGACGTTTGAATCAACGGTCCATGACTTGAATAACCGGTTCGTGTGCTCATATCGCTTTGCATCGATGGAGAGGTCGACTGGGTAAACGCGTCGATTATGGGAGATGGTGATGGCTGGAATAGGGGCACATTTATACTTTATATAAACCTCCACACCTATGGCCGACTGGCTAAGAGCCCTGTATCTTAGTCAGAAGGTCAAGGGTTCAATCCCGCCAGCTTAACTTTAACTTTAACTTAAGATTAACTTCACAGGAACAACTTTTACAAGTAAAAGTCAGTTATGAGTAAGCTTTTGCATATCATACATAGGGCTGCAGTAAATATTTTAGCAATAACTGACGAATTTCAAGCTATTATATTTCCTGTAGAAACTTCCCTGTAAAAAAAGTGAAAGCTTTTGGAAAAACTAGATCTAGATACTGGTAAATAGTGGAAATTTAGCGTCTGATATAAAATCAACAGCTACAGTAACCAACCACACCTTTTCTTTCGGTGATCGACACCACCAAGTGCACATATACGTGGCACAAGCGCCCAAGAAACAACCGAAAGTTGTGAAGAGAAGACAGGGTACTGTAAAAGAGTCTACTGAAGAGCTAGTTGGAAAAAGCTTTTTTGATTTAGCCTTTTCACTTACAGTAGCCACTCCTTGACGGAACTTCATTCTGAATGACTTCAGCAATTCCGCATGGAGTCGTTTCCTCGCGTCGCTCACATAGGCATTCCGGTGAACGAAAGGCAATCAGTTCTAGAGAGATTTCTACGTAGCTGATCGATCCACTATTTCAAAATCCTATTAATCTGTATCAAATCTTAAAGACTGGTATCTACTATATATACAAGAGAAGTGTCTGTATGTCTGTCTGTCTGTCCGTCTGTATGTCCGTCCGTCTGTATGTCTGTCTGTCTGTCTGTCTGTACGTCTGTCCGTCTGTCCGTCCGTCTGTCTGTATGTACGTCTGTCCGTCTGTCTCTCTGTCTGTCTGTCTGTCCGTCTGTATGTCTGTCTGCCTGTCGGTCTGTCTGTCTGTCTGTACGTCTGTCCGTCTGTCCGTCCGTCTGTCTGTATGTACGTCTGTCCGTCTGTCTCTCTGTCTGTCTGTCTGTCCGTCTGTATGTCTGTCTGTCTGTCGGTCTGTCTGTCTGTCTGTACGTCTGTCCGTCTGTCCGTCCGTCTGTCTGTATGTCCGTTTATCCTTTCGTCCGTCCGTCATACGCTGGATCTCGGCTCTCCGTGAACCGATTTCGACAAACTTTTTTTTAATCGATAGGGAATTAAAAATAAGTAGGCAGTTTTGCTGTTTTCAACAAGTTTTTCATTAAAAACTGATTAAAAAATCAGAAAAACCACCTAAGGATGTCCCTTTTGCCCTCGGCGGCGCTTGGGGGCCGTGGTTAGCGTTCCGTCTACAAAACGATTTCCCTAAGGGGGTGTCGGGTTTGATTCCCGTCCGTTTCAAACTGTTTTCCTTTCAATTTTTTCAAACAGGGAATCAAAGTATGCAAATTTAGGTTTCCTTAGGATGAAGGGGGTCTTAGGGACAATTAGTAGTAGCGTAGTAGCGTAGAGCACTCAATATCGATGTCATTTTTGCTTCCGAGGGTATCAGAGTTGGTGATATTGCTTTAAAGGATTAAGAGCTAGATCCGAGTCTTGTAATTCTGGACTGTCTCTTTACACTAATGCCTAAATTACTGAGGCAAACCTTTCGGCATCGCTCTTCGCCTCGTTGTTGATGGCTGTGTGGCTGAGTTGACGCTTTGAGCTGTTTCCACGCAT